ATTTACAAGAGAGACCTGGATTTTAACAAAGAGTGATGACAACAGTGGATAACAAACTGTTTTTCAATTGTAAAACAAACAAACAATTTTTAAATATCATAAATTTGTATGAATCATTTGTGAATGTCTATTGTTATCGTTATCACTGATCACTGTCAGGCGATAGCGGTCAATGCTGCATCTAGTGTTTATATCTATGGGTGCTGCTGTTTAGCTGTCGAGTCACATCTGTCAAGCGGAATGGAGGAGGAAAATGAGCTGCTTTAATGCAGAATAACGAAGAGTCGCCCATAGCTGAGCCGGCACATTTAGACAAAATCCTTATTGTCTTTTGCGTCTCTGACACGTTTCCAACACCACTTTTGCCAAAAATGATGGAAGAAATCGACAGGTTCCATACAAGGTTCTTGTGTAGAAATTAAATTCATTTTATTTATTTAGCGCCAAGTCACAACAGAGGTCATCTCAGGGCACTGAACAGGAACATTCATATATATAATAATTTAATACTATTTATCTGAAACTGTTCGAATGTTTTGTTTTATTAATTTTTTTATCATTATTTTACCGAGCACAATTGAAAATCGGAGCATTTTCTGATTTTGTCTTAATGTTTCACTAAAATAAAAATCAGACAAATAAAACAGTGTGCTACACTATTAGCTATTATTATTACACATTAGCTACACTAACATTTTGGAAAAGAAAAAAAGAAACTTCATAATTCTTAATACTATCTTATTATTTATTGTATTTTATTTATTTTATATGGGCCAGGAAATCTAAAATAAAAGAAAATATAGAAACAAATTAATTTAACGCAGCATGGTAACTGTCAAAAAAGAATAACAATAACAAAAAAAAACATAAAATAACAGTTTTACTCTATGGCTGGATTATGAATAAACTGTGACCCGAGCGTTGGGGTGCCCGGACATCATCCTGTAAGCAACGTGCACTGGTTCCTCCAGCTTATTATTGAACGTATAGATGTGAGTTTTCCCACTGGTGGGGCTGATGTTATAGAAGCTCAGATTGTGTGTCTTGAAGCTGAGCTTGATCTCAAGCCTGCGTGACACCGTGGTCCTCTTCAGCGGCGTGCTGTGGCCCTGCTCAAAAGCACTCAGCAGGTTATTGAACCACATCAGACACCAGGAGCTCTGGCTGCTTTCCAGGGCAGACGGCAGCCCGCTGCGTGCCAGCTTCCCGCTGTAGCAGACGCCGATGATCCACGGAGAGCCTTCGAGCTCCACCTCCCAGCGGTGTTCACCCTCTGAGAAGATCTGCGAGCTGAGGACCTGGAAGAAGCTGGTGAACCTCAGCGGGGATGATGGGTAGGACTGCTTTACAGCGCTGAACGTCACCGTCTTCAAGTCCTCTGAGAGGACGAGGTTAGGGTGGACTGTTTCTGGGTCAAAGGTCACCTCTGATGGGTTGAGGGTGTTTCGAAGCGAGCGCTGCATCTCTCCCAGTTGTTCCCTCAGCTCGCTGTTCATGTTCTCCAGCTTGGAACAAGCTCGCGTAGAGTCGACGTTTGCTACGACCAAGTCCTCGTCTTCTTTCGGAGGTTCTGCCAGTAAATCCACAATGTTTGGTTTTAGCCTCTGAAGCTCAGCTGTAAAGGCCGTCTCATCTTCTTCAGCGAGCAGAGATTCGGACCTGAGCACAGCCTGTTGGAGCTGTTCCACCTGCTCAGAGGCCTGGCTGACTCGCCGGTGGATCCCAGCTTCACCTGGACCTAACTCCTCTTCAGTCATCTTTGACACCTGCTCTGCGTAGCTCTGGGTCAGGTCCTGTATCTGCCCCAGAAGCCTGGACACCGTCTCTCTCAGATGAGAATTGGCAGCGGTCACGCCACGTTCCAGTTCCTTTTCTTTCATCAGGACTCTTTCTGCCCACCCCAACTTGGAGTTCAAGTCATTGATTAGTGATGCTAGCTTTATCTTGGGTTCAGTCATGTCTAGTTTCTCTTTGCTGCCTTTTGTGTGAGCCACACTAACCAGGGGCTCTGCAGGTCCGGGTGAAGTATTAAAGTCTTCCTTCTCCTTGCACTCTGCTCCATCCTCTCGGCTCTCTCCTGCTGCTGATCTGTCTTGGAGCTGGTTGGTGTCTGATTTGTCAACTGAGCTATCCTTGAACCTTCTGTGGCAGATGTCAGAAGAGTCTGCGGTGGAGAAAACTTTCTCAGCAGCAGCTTTGTAGGTTTCCACAATATTGCTCATTTTCTCGCTCTTAACAAGGCCCATGGCTCCGTGGTACTCAGCCTGACACTCTGGGCAGCTGTGCTGGTCAAGGCCCTCTCCCATGGTCTGAAGGCAGCCGAAGCAGTAGATGTGACCGCAGGGAAGAGACGCAGGCTCGGAGAACAGCTGCAAGCATATGGGGCATGTGAGCTCCAAAGCCAAGGCTTGAGACTGAGCCTTCGTGGAAATGTCTGATTTGTCCTCAGTCACAGACATGATGGTGGAAACCTTCAGAAACACAAAACAATCTTGGCTTCAACATGTGTCTTTGAAGGACTACGATCAAGTTTATATGATAGAAAAGAAATGTTACTGGCTGCCATTAAAGGCAAATGCATAAATGTTTTTGTCTGTGTTTGTGTGTGTGTCTACAGTGTCAGCAAAAAAAACTTGTGAACCACTGGATGAATTTTAATGAAGCCCTCAGAAAGTAATCATTAGATGCACATCAACAATTTAATTCATTTTTAGGTCAACCTAATTCCAGATGTCGAGCACGTCCAGCCAAACATTCAGCACAGCTGGCATAGGCGATTTGCGCTCAGCCCTGCTGCATTATATGTGAAGGGGACGTGACCCCCCCCCCCCCACCCCCCCCACACACACACACAAAAAAAAAAAACGCTTAAATTGACACACACACTTTCACTATAAAACATAAGTTCAGTCGGCGCAGTTTCTCTTTCTTCATGAACGAATCCATTCCACTTGATTAATAGGAGAATACTTAAATCACTAAAAAATCCACTCCAGGTTTTCCTGGTTACCTCCAACTCTCCAGCTTCCAGCAGCATGCATTGTTTCTGTGCAACTCCTCCTGCCTCACAGGTGGAGGAGGTGGAGACACCGCTGGGTTGATCGCTCGCCAGTTTAGCAAGCTTAGTGCCGGTGTTCTGTCGGTTAGTGATATTCGTCAGATTGTCATATATGTAGTTAATACGCATGCGCGCACATGCGCATTTTGCAAGAAGCCTGCGACGTTCAGAGTAGTAGTCAGTTTATCATACAAAACAAGATCTACACTACAGTATACAAAAATAAACAAGTCGGTCATTTTTTTTTTGGTGTATTATTGTGTCTTTACACAATTTGAAGTGTACAATGCATTTTCTGGAACGTGAGTAAATTGTTTTGGTGTATACATGGTCTTACTGTGTATTTGCACGATTTGCGGTGTGCCCATGCGTATTCTGCAGGAGGCTCGCCACATTTAGAGGAGTCGTCGTCAGCTCTTCATACACTACAACATTTCAGTTCATCACACACCACAAGATACGAAAAAGTAAGTAAGTATATGTACATATAATATATATAATATAAGTAATAATAATATTTTAATAATATTAATATTAACATATTAATAATAACAAATAGTAATAACAAAATAACTGTTAAATAACTATCTGTAAATAACCAATAAATTATCTACGTAAATGATAAATACAAAGTAACTGATAATGAATATAGTACGAAATACAAAATCATAACTGTCAGTGAGTGTTTGACATGGTGTCATATAACGCTATGACGATCTGACAACCTACGCTAAACCGATAGATATAGCCGTCAGTTTGTGCTACTATGACAATCTGGCAATGTATCACTAACCGACAGATACAGCTATCAGTTTGTGCTACGCGTATGACAATATGGCAATGTAGCACTAACCGACAGATACAGCTATCAGTTTTTGCTATGCGTATGACAATCTGACAATGTATCACTAACTGACAGATACAGCTATCAGTTTGTGCTATGTGTATGGCAATCTGACAATGTATCACTAACGGACAGATACAGCTATCAGTTTGTGCTCCACGTATGGCAATCTGGCAGTGTATCACTAACCGACAGATACAGCTATCAGTTTGTGATACGCGTATGACAATCTGACAATGTATCACTAACCGAGAAAACACCGGCAGTTGTTGACCAGGGGGTTGATCATCAACATATATTCATGGTTAGGAGCAGTGGCGGTTCCGCCCAGGGTGGCCTCCAGCAGGGGGTGGCATAACACGGCATAACATCACCACCCTCCCTCCAGTCCCCTACACCCCCCCCCCCCCCCACACACACACACCCCCACCCCCGGCGCCCACGATCGCTGAAGACATTGTAATAATATAATAATTATAAAATAATACAGATATATATACTTTTCCAATAAAAACTTGCTGAAAACCTACCAAATGTGGTTAAAAGCAGCTCAAATTCTAACATCCACCCATAGCTGTGTATATGGAGGTTTTTGGGCTGGCAACTGTCAGTCAGATCTGGGCTGGCAACCCTGGGTTGGTGGCGGTGTTAATCTAATCCGCTTAAATGCAAATTATGGAAGATGGAAAGGAAAAGGTCAGTTTAGGAAAAAGAAAAAAGAAGAAGAGGAGAAACGAGCAAAAGATAAAGGTAAGAAGAGCTGTGTGTCACTGTCATTTCTTGTTGTGTGAAATGTGTAGGCTGTAGCTTGCTAATGCTAACTGGTTAGCTGCTTAGGACGACATATTTTGTTAACAGCGGAAAATATTACCGTCTTGAAGATTGACATTCTTCTTAAACTAAACAAACAACATGGAAAAGTAATAATAGGCCAGTATAATTTCTAAAGGCAATGATTTTGTGATGTACTTTGGATGACTGGAACTCAAAGACAGAGATTGTGTTATAATACAGAACCCTGGCTGTCACACAAAAAAATCTGTGCTTTTATAATGAAGTACTTTGATTAATGCTCCTAAACAAAGACAAACTTATAGCTCATTATTAAATATATACATTTTCTATTTTAATAAATAAATAAAAAACAGTTTGATTGCTTATTTGAATTTATACTGTCTGGTGCAGTCAATCCTGAGCTTTCTGTGCACACCAACAATAAGTTCTTCTACTATGAATTTCATAAATTGGAAATATATGTAGGCTTGGTTAAAAAAAAAAAAAAGGCTTAGTTGTTTTTGTCATTTGCTATGTCAGTTTAACAGTCCCTTAATCACATTAGTTGAGAAAAACTATGTTAGCCTGACATAATTACTCTATTGCATAAGGCTGCAACAAAGGTTTTATAGCCTATTAAATAACCATCATGAGGGATATAATTATGACTGTTTGATGATGACACAATTGATGCTGTATTCTGACTAACAAAATGCGCACACTGTTAGTTTGCAGAGGACCAAGTCAAGTAAGAGCTGACTTTGTTTTTCCAAGGAACGAGGATGATGGTAGAAGTTGCCACCACCAGTATTTTTGGACAACGTTAGTTAGTGGTGAAAAGACGCTTAGAAGCTGGTCGGTGTATTCGGAAAAAAACAACAGCCTTTTCTGCTTGTGTTGCAAGTTGTTTTCAAAAAGGAATACAGGGGGGTGTTGCTCGCCCAGGGCGCCAAATAGGCTAGGACCGCCACTGGTTAGGAGGAGAGAAGTGCAGCGTCTGTAGCAGGAACTGTGACGCTGCAGGTGTAAGAGACGTGGTGTGTTCAGGTGCATTAAAGTTGAAATGTCTTTAAAACCCCACACCTTATTGCCCTCAAGCTTCGTGAGAAACATCATTTAGATGAGTCGTGTTGAACACAAGTAAAAAAGTCCAGTGTTGATGTTTTTTTTATTTCTCCATAAACACAAATAGAGGGTGTGTTAGTTCATTAAAGTTAAAATGTCTTTAACGCACAGCTGAATTCACACAAACTTAGTGAGAAACATACTTTAAAAGGAATTAAAGTAAGGAAATCTAGATGAAATGTTGCACACGCGCGCGCGCACACACTATAGTGCCCCCCCCCCTCTCATTACAGATGCTTCTGACGGCCACGAGTGACGGGTCCAGATGTAACATCACGCGCTGTGTAACAGAAGACTGGAGCAGCTCAACAATGAGTTTAATAAACAAGAAAAGAATCACGTTGCGTCATTTCACAGACGCTGCGCGGCGCGTGCGACTTGTTGAGTTTCTATTTCCGGGGAACAGGATCCGGGCGTTTCCTTCAACTTAATAAACCACTTCATTACTAAGATATAATTTACACGTAATGAAGGTTTTCTCCCACAATTGGTACTCCTCGCGTGCGTCCTACAGCTGCTGCGCAACAAACAGCGCGTGTAATTAACAGAAACATGTTTGTATTTTCAAGGAGAAACAAGTCAGAGACTCACCTGCGGTCAGCCTGAAGGGTTGGAGTCGATTCTTCCTGCTCGTGATAAGAATCGGGTCTGACGCACGGGTGCGCGCGGTCATGAACTGCCTCCATGAGCCTCAGCAACATGATGTGGCAACTTCGTCCCTCTCTGCTATTTTTAATCTCTTCGGTTTATCTGTGCTGTAATTCTGTTCTTTCAGTTTAAAGTCACGGACTCTAACAGGGCAGTAACAGCTAGGTTATTTATAAGTTACCAATAAAGAATATTTCTAAATATATTTTACTCATGTTGGAAACTATAGGGGACTCTGTGCTGTAAAGGGAATTGATCATTGTTTTCTCTGGGGTGTGTTTGTATGTTTTGTGTTAACTTGGTTGTGCAGCAGCTTGTGGCCTTAGACAATTTTTTCTATACAATATCATTTACAGTTACGTTATAACTGTTTTCCCCCTATAGATGTACCCACCCAACCAATACTAAGAACAACAACAATAAACAACTTTTTTTTTTCATTCAACTTTTATTTATAAAGGTTAGTCTGAATGAGCCACGAGGACTCATTTACAAAAGAGACCCGTTTTAGACAGACAACAATAAAGCACAATAAAAATGCAATTAAAGTAGTGTATAAAACAATAAATCAGGATGCCGTAAAACAAGACAAAATACTAAAAGCAAGAACATATTTGCTTTGGTTTCTATGGACTTTATCAATTGTTTAAAATTTAGGTGGACAGCTTCAGTTCCTGTTTCAAGGTGTTCCAGGTTGCAGGAGCAGAGTAGCAAAACCTTTTTGCAAGTTCAGTCTGCACTGAGGGAACGCTGCAGGTAATGATGTCCTGAGAGCGCACGCTGTAACTGCGCTGATGGTGTGACACGTGGGAGGAGATATAAGAAGGCAGCAGACCAAGGAGGGATTTATAGATGAAGATGAACCAGTGTGAGAGCCTGCGTAGATAAAGATGACCAGCTGACCAAGGAGTACAGGTGCAGTGATGGGTACGGTAGTTATACAGATGAAGCAACATTTAGAGCAATTATCCACATACAATTAATGTTTTTTTTTTTCCTTTTAAAATGATTTTTTAAATATATATTTTAAAAAATGTGTTTATGCGCAACACTTCTTTACCTTTGAATCTAAGCACGTCGCCAGCAACACATACACGCTCACTACCCTAATTACGAAACTTTTTGTGCTTTAGGAGAAACCCCTGCGGTTTCTAATAGCAAAGTTACGCTTTCCAGTTGTACTTGTGTTATTTATATATATATATATATATATATATATATGAAGATCAGTGACTTTTGGCACAGAGAAACCATTTTCCATGTGACATTTCCTGTCACCGCCGTGACCGGAGACCGGTTCATGACCATTTTATGTAATCTTCATGTACCCGTTAATTGGGCCAGAGGAAAAAAAAAAGAAAAACTATGAGAAAAGGGGCACATAGATTTATGACCCTCTCCATGGTATCAGGCCTATAATGGAAATGAGATGAGATGTATATTCATCTACCACCCAAGATGGCACTTTTCAAAGAAAGTATAGCTGTGAGTTGTGATCAAAGCTGGGCTTGGAATCAAACAGTACATGAAGGCCAGAGCAACCAAGTTGGGACTGAAGTTTTTTGTTTTTGCTGGCGTGAAAGGCTACACCGTCAAGCTCTACACGGGCAAGTCCAAGGCAGCATCAAGGAAAAGGCTCTCTTTTGATGTTGTAATTGATTTGATCATTAAAGACTACCTAGGGTCTGGGTATATCGTCTACACAGATAACTTTTTTTTACCAGTCCCCTCCTCGTCCGACACCTGGGATTCAGAGCTTGTGGAACATACAAACAGGGAAGGTGTTCCCACCACCCAAGCAAATGTGCTCTGGTGGATCAGATGTGGGGAGCTTCTTTTTGTAAAGTGGGTGGACGCTAGAGAAATGTCCATGTGCTCCACCATCCACTGAGCACAACACTTTGGAGTGAGCACCTCAAACCAGACGATCAGCAAAAATAGTCCACTGGAAAACCAGCAGATCCTCAGCTGTTTGTCAGCATCTGGTTGACAGTGCAATGAACTATCATCCACAAAGATCATTGTGCCAGAACGTGTCAGAAGCCAATGACTCATCAATTTCCAGAAAGAGCTTGCAGCACACCTCCTTGAAAGTTCACTGAAAAAGATGACCCCAGGTGGTTTGATATTTTTGTGTTTGCGTTAGTGTTTTTTTGTTTGCGTGTGTATTTTGTTTGTGTTTGCTGCGCGTTTTGCCATTTGCTGCGCATTTGCACCCATCGGCCACCGTAGTAAACACCTACCTGTCCCCAGCAGGAGTGGAGAGGCCACGGCTCAGAGTCAGCATGGGGCGATGACGACGTTGCAAACTCTGCAAAAGGAGCACTGCCTGCAGGTGTGAGGGATGTGATGTGGGCCTGTGTCTGCAGCCAGACAGGAACTGCTTTACTGTACCACCAAGACTCTAAAGTGTGAAGGGGCTGTTTGCAGACAGGTGGGATACTTTAAAAACAAACAAAACAGCAAAAATTCATGTACATAGTTTCCAATTTTGACTTGTTTTTGTACTTTGAGAGATAAAGACACCAAAAAAAAAGTGTTTTATACTGTTCAAATCTCAAATCAAACATGCAAAATCTGTTCATGTACAACTGCAGCGTTCTCTTCTTTTATTTTTCTTAATAAAACTTTCAAATTGCTTATTTATTTTAAACTGGTAATACACTTGTGCCATACAGTAAATCGTACAAACAACAAAAAAAAAAAAAACCTTGTCAGATACTGAAAGTTGTAAGTATTTGGTAGAAATGGGCAAAAGCACTTGCAATAAATTTTAGATAAATTGAGCAAAATAAAAAAAAATGTTCCTACAGCTGTAACTTTAGGTTCCATCCATAAAACACGGCTCACTTAAAATTAGCCTTGGTGACATTGTGAATCAGCACCTGCCTGAGTCTTACAGTTTTTAACAATGATCTTGTTTATTTAACTCCTTAGATGAAGAAAAAAGAGCAACACAACAGAAATAATCAAAATGTTCAGTGGACCCATACAAAAATTCTAAAAAAAAAAAATGTACTTAGTAAAATAAACAGAACAAACTACTACTACTTTGAGGGTCAAATACAAGATTTGGAATGCATTTGTATTCCTGTGCGTCATGTGTACAGAACAATGTGATTTGGAGTGTTTTCTCTTGGCTGAATGATAAAAACTTTCATAAATACATTGATAAATAATAAAAAAGCTGTGCTGAATAATCCAGTTCTTTTCTCAAACTTGGACATGCTGCACCTGCTTTGTGTAGTGTTATTTGTGGTACTGGAAAGTACCTGAAAGCAGATTTTTTTTAAATCTGTGGAATCACAGTGACCATTGTTTTGTTAGATTCAGTAGTCCTTACATGTTGAAGACAATAATAACAATAATTGACCTGCAGGCTTCTGTCATATGACAAAAGATCAAGCAAAAGATATCATTCATCTGAATGAAGTGCAATTTCACAACACATGCAAAAACTGGTCAGTCCACGTTGAATAAATCTAATTTATCGAGTGGTTTTAAAAATCAGACTATAAAAACTATCAAAATCCTAGCAAATATGTTTTTAAACAGTATGAAGTTTCTTGGTACATGAACTTAAATGTTCAAACCGTGCGAGCTTGGGTGTAGATCACACTTCCTCAGCTGGGCACAGATCACGTTGTTTGTATGATTCCAGTACCAACTGGTGATATACCATTATTTTTTTTCGAGAAGTGCACTTCTGATCGACGGTACCTGGGATGATTTATTTTGTTTGCGTTCTTTTGACTTCTTCAGAGTCTCCCTTTGAGTGTACGAAGCAACAGTTATCACTTCAACAGGGCAACTCAGTGAAAAGGCAGCCGTGCTGGTCAAACTTGAGAACGTACAGTCATTATTCTAGCATGAATCTGTGTAAAGTTCCACGAGTTTAAAGCAGATTGTCCAGGTCAACGTCAGGCAGAGGCTCCTTCCAGTAGGAGAAACTGCTGTACTCGGGACAGTCGAGCACAGAGGAAGTGCTGCCGTCGATGAGGAGCATGGGGAAGAAATGCTCCACCATCTCGCTGAGGTGATGGTACCTGCAACACACACACGAAACAGGAGTGTGCAAACCTGCCGCATGGTTTTATCAATATGAGTGCAATCATTCAGAAGCCATTGAAAACGTGATCCATATCGTCATTACAGCCCACCTCTGACAGAAAGGAGGTCATGTTTTTGCTCATGTCTGTTAGCAAAATATCATGAACCAATGGGCAAAATTTAATGAAACTTTTAGAACATAATGATTAAAAGTATATCTAACTTGTGGAGTCAACCTGATTCAAGGTGGACACCAAGGCTAATCAACCTTAGCTAACTCCAAAAATGACTAGAACTCTGTCAACTTTGCAGATATTGAACTAAAATTCGGTGTGGTAATAGCTGAGAGTCATCTCCAACACATATTATCAGCTCTACCTGAGCGCAGAAGAACTCACAGCTGCTCGACAGAGTTTGACTCAGGAGTTGTATGCTTCTACACCCCCGCCTGACAGATGGCAGTAACAATGTGCTCTCTGCTCAAGCTTTGACTCACAGTCTTCTTTCATTGTTCCCACCGTTTTAATTCACCGACAGCGTGCACAGTCTGAGCAGGAGCAAGCATTTGGACTTTGTGCTCTGGTTCGCCGAGGGAGCGGGCGTACTCGGAGAAAGACAAGAAAATGTCAGACTTACGAGGACTTGTTGCCTTTAGTCATCTCCTGGGTCAGTTCTCCTTTTGGATTGACGGTGAATATTCGGGCTTCAGACACGCCAACCTGCTTATAGGCATAAGCATCCTGCAAAAAAAAAAAAAAACAGTTTTACAAAAGAGCTTTAGTGTTAATTTTATCTAACATTTATTGTACTTGTGTATAAGAAAATATAGTTTGAACTCATAAAACCTTTAGCGTAGAAAGCCCCAATTCCAGATGTATTTTAAATGCAAAATCCACAATAATTTTTAGGAAATTACTGTTAAATTTATTGCTATTTGTTTTTCGTAAACAGAATCCTCTCCCAGTTGCTCAGGAAAACGAACATTTCTCTCTATTCTGTCATTTAATGTCCGTTTTCATTCTGTGACTGCACTAAAGGCTGCTTCACACTGGTCAGCCTCGTCATCTTCCACCTTGCTTGAAAAGAGGGCTCTTATTAAAATTAATGTCCTGCACGGACTAGTTTATCTACGGTAAATGATTCACGTTTTGTTACCTAGCAAGGTCATAAACAGCATCGAAACACAGGTGGAGTCTGTTTATTTGGAGAGGGAGGAAGAATGACCAAAACACACGTTTTATTGTCACACGGTGTTTACTGCCAGACTTTAGTGGCAGCTGGCAGGACACTGGTGTACCTGGTTTAAATGGGGTTCTAGATCAATATGGACTCTCCCTAGTCCAGTGGATATTAACATTAGTCAATAGAGTTTGATTCTGTTCAGGGCATTTGCTATATTTTTGTCACTTTAAGCAGAATAAAAGCATACATATTTTAAAAGACTTTTCTGAGACTCTGTTGGTAGTTATCTTTTGCAGACTGCTGGAGCATTATACTATGGCCCAATAAATTAGTGACAAAGTTAAGAACTTTATTTGATGCCCAGACTTCACTATCTTTTCAGTGTTTAACAGCATGACCTACAGAAAGGTGATTTATTTGGATATTTAAAAATTGGGCATTTCATTTCCACCGATCCCACCTCAGCCAGTCATAACGAAATCTCCCAAGCAGCAGTCTTTGTATTTTCAGGTGTCCAAAAAGCACAATGGAGTATTCTACCAAACCTCAGCCACTAATCAGGCCTTGAAGAGAAACCTGAGCTCCAACAGCGACGACCCACACAAGGTTTGTGCCAGAAGTGGAGACGGATAAATTCCTTTCTGAAGCACAGAAGTGTCACAGTCATCTTTAGAGACATCTAGTGGCCTCCAGTGTAAAGAGCATCTTCAATGAACCGCTTCACGTCAGAGAGCCGACTGCTGTTTAATCTCATGTAGCATTTCTGTCTAATATTGGGCTGTCAATGTAGTGCTTTGAACATGCATTTTTTGTGGGTAAAATAATAAAACATTGTTATTTAATGAATAATCTTGTTAAAATGTGTGCCATCATGGCATTTACTTGTGACTTCTTGACTGCTACAAACACAACAGATAAAAAAAAAACCATCTAATTTACAAAATACCAGTTTGAAATGACCCTTGACTCGTTTCATTGATCACGTGACTCTAGACAAACGAATCACGCTCGGACACAGCGATTCTGAAAGCGCTATTTTAATTTTTCTCCATGCCAGAGCTTCAGCGTCAAACGGCCCATCACTAGCCAGAAGTTTAAATCACAGCCGCATGCAACACAGCAACTTGAACGTTTGAAACTCAAACATTATCAGGAGCCACTTCGCAGCGAAGCTTACGTTAGTCCTGTTACCGAAGGCAGCGTAGAACGGTTGTCTGTGTGGGTTGAACAAGTCTCTGATGTCACTGAGACAGGCGATCTTAAAAATCTCCGGCTTCTTCTCAATCACCTCCCTGAGAAAACACGAGGAGGGTTTATTGTCACAGAGGTCAGATCTTTTCAACTAGATATATATTAATGAGATGCACAAATGAATCTGCGTGTCATTGGCAGGTCAAACATTTTAAAATCCCATATTTTTTCAAGCAACAAAACACACTTTGCATTTTTTGAACGAGTGAAGAAAGCTTGAAGGTAGTTGTATTTACTGTCTGAAAGATGTCTAAAACTAAAGTCGGACACGTTGCGGAGAGGTCTCAATCAACGTAATGCCTTTTAAAGTCAGTTTATACGTTTCCATTCTAGTTGTAGTAACAAAAGGTTTTGACCAGGGTTAACCAAACTTGCTTTAAGGTGCATTTCAACTTTCTACTTTACTGATTAGGACTTCAGGGAGGAATTAGAGGATTCCTATGGGACTAACAGTAGTTCAGAGGGTGTCTGTGTTACCTGTGCAGTGCTGAAAAGAGGCTGCTGGGAGCCAGCAGGACGGGGCCTTTGGGAAGGATGATGCCTTGGTCATTGACCCACTGTAAGTAGCCTTTAGTGATAGCAGCCATACCTATAGCCCTCGCTGAACAGTACAGGAACTTGTAGCCATTTCTGCAGGGGGACAAACATCAGGTTCTGACCAATGTCAGATCTAGCTGCGCAGTCACCTCGAACCTCGGTTAAAAAACATGCAATATAACATACTGGTGGATTTTGTGGTACAGTTTGGCAATTCCTTTGTGTGTCCAGTCTTTTCCAAACTGAGGTAAAATATGACCCAGAGCATCAGACCTGCAGGAGACAGAAAGTGAAATCTACTAAAAACAATTATTGATTTAATGTACAGAAAACAAAAAATATCAAATATATATGTAAAAAAAGTATTTAATGACTCCATACATGAAATTAAGTGTTTTTTAAATGTCAGAATCAGCAGTTAATTTACACCCAGACATGTTTTGAAGAGAACATGTTTTACTTGGTGATGGTGCCATCGATGTCCGATATAATCACCCGATCGTCCCAGTTCCACAGGTAGATAGCAGCCTCACAGCGACAGGTACCCTGGTACTGTGTGGTCACACTGAACACCACTTTATTGGCTCCTTCACACAGATTTAGATTCTCCTGTTAAAGGCAGACAATAGTTAAACATCTCTGCACCAACTGAACCTCTTTAAATAAAATGGACTTTTGGAGCGAGGTAGTTAAGAATATCTCTTACTATCTGTTTAGAAGTCAGACGTAAGGATTTGCGATAGATCTGGTTGATGGTCTGAGTAGCATTAATGGTTTCTGTGGAAAGGCTGTGAGGAATGATGGCTTTTCTGCCAAGACCCGCTGCCTCGTCACTGTCAACGTCGTCCAGAGTGGCTCTGAGGAAACAACAAAGGATATTAATACAATATCGTTGCAGGTAATACTTACGTTACTACAGAAAAAAGTCAAGACATGACCACAGCTGTTATCTAAGTACTGGATCATATTTTAACACAAATAAGTGGTACTGTTTATAAATCGACACAACAAACGAGCTGATTTAATTAGAGGCCATTGTGGATGTGATACTGCTAGTTTTTTATGAAACTAGTAGACAATTACCTTTATAACAAACATCACTTCTTCTTGTGGCTACTTTAATTTTCTGCCTGATGGCTAAAATATAGCAGCAGTTCATGTCAAAGTTTTCTGAACCACAGCACCAAATAAAAACTAATTCACGTACAAGGATTGTGCCCATGTTTACAAATGCACTTCTTAACACGACAAAGTAGTGAAACTACAGTACTTTAAAACTAGCTCTATACCTAAAAACTTGTACTCGAAAAATGTTCTTTCATATCACAAGTGATTAAATCGTTAAACAGTAAAAAGGTATAAATTACTGAGCTCAAAACTTCTTTTCCGTTAATGATGGATGTTAATGTCATGTTTGTATATGTATGTCCTTTATGTAAAAACCTGCTGACAATGATGCAAAACAATTTCCCTACGGGGACAGACAACCAACCAACCAGCCAACCAGCCCGCCCGCCCATCCATCCATCCATCCATCCATCCATCCATCCATCCATCCATCCATCCATCCATCCAT